GCGCGGCGGTGCGTCATCGTAACGGAACTGCCTTGTATCTTCCCTGACCATGACCAGCAATACTGGACTAGGGGTAGAGACCCACAAGGACGGGGATGACCTGTTGTCCCGCTTGACGCCTATCTTTTCGCGGGAGATGTCCCTGCAAGCGCACTTCACTTTTGGTGCCCAGACCCAAGGCGGTCCGCACTCCGCCCTGCCTCGAGTGTCCACAAATGCCCTCTGCCTCAGAGACACGCCGGGCTCGGCTCGGGACAAACACTTTTGTTGGAGGGCTGATGATGGCAGCCACTGCTCGATGGCATGCGGGGAAGACGGTGCTGTGTCTTTAGCTTTTAATAAGTCCCCGGTCCGGGCTTTACAGGGCACCAGGAACACGTCGCACACGTCGCCTTTGCCCGTCGTGGACGACGAAGACACCAACTGCAGGAATGAGGTGCCTGTGCGGTCGCTGACTTTCAGTGGGGACAAGTCACCTCGTCCCGCCCAGAAGCAGTATGGCCGAAGATGTAAAAGCACTGCCCATATCGTCCTTAAGAAGCAAAACGAACAGAACCCTAGCGATCTACCCCACGAGTTCCATTCTCTGCCTAAACGAGACTACACTAAACGAAAAGAACAGAATCCTTCACAGCAGGGGTCGAAAAGCCCACCTCGGTCAACAAGAATGAACGGAAGTGGGCGTTTCAACCCATCCTCTTTACCTAGGGTTCAGGAGAGTGAAGCATGCCACTCGTGTCGCTCATCTTACGTGAGTGCTCCGCCGTGTTGTTCTTGTCATCACTGCACGGCTCATTTGATCAGCTCGCTGCCATGCTCGTGTCAGTCGTGCATGCATTTCTACAGCCACTTGCAACACCACATGGCGTGCCATGCCGACTCTTCCCCATACTGTTGCCGTCCTCCTCATCACCACCACTACCACCGCTACCACTCCCCTGACCGACTCTCAAACAAGCGCGACGACTTGTCCACCTTTAATTCTCACAAGTCTTATCCTGGGAGACCAAACAAAGGAAGATCGCCTCGCAGGGACCACTCCGAAGGTGTCGGTCAAAGTCCTACCAGTAAGGCTGGGCCATCAAAGCGGCACAAATCTTTGGAGAAGCGTCTTCTGTCTGAAGATCGTAGAGATATGGGGCCTCGCTTGCCTCGCGTGGGCGTGGCTTATCCCCCTCATCAGGTATTCAGTAATTTTTTCTCACGTCCCTTATTTCGCCAGCTCTCAATTAGTTACTCCTATTATGATGCTCCCTTAACTGCTTTCAACAGGCTTTTTCACATGACATATTTCTTCCCTTTTTACGTATTTTTTTGTCTCGAACGGAATGTCTCATATTCGTAGGAGTAAAATCTATATTTTTTTACGTATCTACGCAACCGGGTTTTATCCTGATTTGCGCTCCGATGCAAAATCAGGAATCTGTAAAACGAAGTTTTGTTTGTACGACTTTAAAAATAATTTTGCCAAATCACGACTTCCGATATGCACGTTTATAAAGAACGTGTAACTGATGTGAAGATTATCAATTGCAAATATATTCAATATTTTATGTCATTTTTTCGTTTGATTCGAGACTATTTTTTTATGCGTGTCCAAAATTTCGGCAAGGTTGTAAATGTGCAGGATGAACAAAGATCTCGCGGTAGAAGCAAAATTCGTCCTCGCACCATACACATCGATGTCTACTGCAGCACCTCTGATGAAGATGACACGGCCGGCCAAAACTCAACTGACGAAAACCCCAATCCTGTCCTACCACGAACGCTGGTTGAGCTCGGGTCCAAAAATAGGAAAAAAAACGAGGTCCAATTACGCTCTCAACAAAGTGAAGACCAGTTACCCACATGTGACCTCCCACAAAAACTGGACTTACCTTTTCAAGAGGATGAATGCATTCGGAGTCCGCGTCCATCGGCGTTCATCACAGATCTTCCTCTTCCTATGATGTCATCTTCCTCCCAAGCTTTCGCTCCTCGGCCGCATACGCCAGCGTCCGTCATGGACACGAGTTTGGCTTCTGATGCGACCAGAATTTTATCTCCGCGTAAGGATGCTGGGCCAGCTAAATTGGAAGTCATAGAAATGCCTCCTCCTCCGCGTCCCACTACCTTGATGTTGTCCTCTCAAAAAAGTCCTTCATCCCGGGATATGCCAAGAAGGCGCAGAGATTCAAGTCTCTCCTACGTCAGCAGTCCTTTGGACCCCACTGCCTGGGAAGCCGATCAAGACATTCCATCTTCAGTTCTGTCATGGCGTGGAAGCGAGTTTGATGCATCAGCTTCACAACCTCCAAGCGATTGTGATGGCGATGGAGCCATGGGTGCGCAGCCTCGGACGGAGGTATTTTACGAGGGAGACTCTGAAGGCACTGAAGTTGAAAGCAACACAAGCACGTCAAAGATCTGGCGATCTCCACATTTGGTGCGGCGACAGTATATCCAGAGAGACCAAGAAGAGCGTTACAAGGAAGCCGTCAAGCGAAAATCTGAGAAAACTCAAGAATCGTCTGATATTTATTCTGATGTTGATGCCCTCTCGAAATTGTCTGTATTCAAGAACTTCTCCAATGAAGAGCTCGAAGTTATTTCGAAGTCGCTCAATAAGCGTGATTCTGCAAAATCTGGCGGTTTGTCAAGCAATTCATTTCGTGCCATTGAGCGGGAAGAGTCTTTGAAGCAATTGAAACGCATGGCACCAAGCTCTCACCCTTCATTCGAACTTAAATCTGCTCAACCTAAGTTGACGAATCAAGTAATTCGCGATGAAGGCACGTTTCACGAAACAAAAGAATCTTCTTTGGTTTTACGACGATCTCTTTCTTTGAACAGCCGTCATTCATCTAGTAGCTCGTCTCTATCTAACGCCCTTTTAGATTCAATAAAGGATGGGCGCGAAACCGAGGCTAAGAGCGTAAACGTTGTGTCGCCTTTATCAAAATCTCTTCAGAACATTCCCGATGAGGAAAATGACGTAGTAAGTGCGCTTGAGAGACCTGCCGCATCCTTACTTCCCTCGTGTAGTTCTTCAGCGAAGATTCCTGTTGTGGTGCGAGAGAGGCTTGTCAATGTTGGCGTTTTCCGTAACCTTCAGCGATTTCCGATTGCGAGCCCAACAGTCCCTAAGCCCTCCTCATATTCATCCTCATCAACCAGGACGTTTAATCGTCGAAATTTTGAGCGTTTGTTTGTGAGGCCACATATTTTTGGGGAGGTGCTGAGAAGTCACGAGAGGAGACCTTTCCATTTCGGTCCTCCTCGAAACCCACAGTGTTCATGTGATAGTTGCCGCAGCGCGCAGGCTCAAATAAGCAAGGCAGTCTCTGTTGATCCAGTTAGTTTTAGAGCTTGGTCAATGTCTGATCTCATTACTGGAACATCTTCTTTGCCTCGTCCTCACGTCAGCTCTCCATCTTTGATTCCTAATTCTACCGCAAGCGACATCTCGGCACCCTCTCATTTAGGTAAGCCCTTTGGCTTGCCCTCCTATACTCCTTCACCTTGTCGCTTCTCTTTCCTTACACATATTTGCTTTTTCCTGACATTGTTTTCCCGAAAAATTACGTTGTACAATGGATTTGTGTTGCTCTTGATGCTCTGCATTCAACCTTGTGTTTCTTCTCGTGTATTGTTTTGGCTTACACCTGTGATCCTTGTGTCGCCCATTCTCATTTGTTCGGTTTTATTTTTAACCATGTAGCGTTGATCCGCAACCTAAATGTTTTGCATTGTTCTCTAATGACAGGTCAAAATTTAGGATTTGGTTGTTATTATGGTTAAATTTCACGAATTGCGTGCGCAAATGTTTATTGCATATTTTTTAAATAGTCTTTTAGGATTGCACCCTTTCATAGGTCAGAGTTGTGTTTCGATGGAAACACTAACAATACGGTGATAACATTTCGCGTTAGTTTAAATTTGATACCGTAGCTTATTTTGCGACCCGTGCGCTGGAATGTTGATTCCTGCTTCGAAATTCGTATAACAATGTGTACTTTATAGCAGAGTTTGTTGCTGCGTATGTTCAATGTTTCTATGGAAAGCCTTTCAACTGACTGCTTTGAAATTATTTATGCAGTCATAATTTCGTCACATGTGATTGAGCTCAAATGCCATGCACTCTTCATTTTTTTCCATTTGACAAGTTCCAAAACTAAGGATTGAACTGTGATATTTAGTTGCATGCAATCTGGTGCAATAGAAAGAAGCCTAAAGATATTTAGTTTCAGTTATTACTTTGGGCAATTCTGTTACATTTTTGATATTCTTGAACATTAATGACAGATATGACAGCAAAGAGAAGAAAAACTCAATTTTTGCGAACACATTCTGTTGTAACACGAAACATTTTTATTTTCGACGATTATAAGTTTTTCTCGACAACGTAACGTATTCTAAAATTTTACTATAGGTACTACGATTTATATTCGCCGTTCTTGTTTGAAATTCGGTCTCGTGTGGCCACACACGCCCTACGAATCGACTGATGTTTTTGCTGTTGATGATAGCATTAGTGATGCTGCAGCATGGAGCAAGTGATGATGGCGCTAATGATGATGGTGAAAATGTGCTTTGGCTGGTAGCGTGCGTGTTTGTGTGAAATCGTCAACTGGCTGGGAGAGCTTGCATTGCATTGGCTGGGAGCTAGCATTGCATTGCATACTGGCTGGGAGCTAGCATTGCATTGGCTGTAGTAATGGTGAGAGCTCCTACAGTGTGATGGAGGTAATGGAGAAGGCGCTATTGTGCTGTAAATAATGTGGGTTATTCTTGAGTTGGAGCACTGTAGTGTTTGGTAGTTAATGGGAAAAAACGCTAGTGTGCTGTAGGTTATTGTCAGGGGAAGAGAACTCGAAAGGGAAAATGACGGAAAATTTAGAAAATGAAAGGGAAAAACTCGACTCGATTGTTAGTTCCAATGACGTCGCAATTTGAATGGAAAATGACGTCGAAATTTGAATTGAGAACAATTTGGTAACGCCAGGACTGATATTTTACAGGCGCAGCAGCGTCTGGAGGAGAGCAGCTCGAAGCTTGACCTCATCAGACAGTCTTTAGAGAACCTGAGAGGCGACCTCAGCTCCGACTCTGCTCTCAATGCTGAGGTAAGTGCACTCATTGTTTCTATTTATTGCTTTTATTATATATTCTGTTTCTGTGCCTCTTGTATTGTTGACCTATGTAGGCAATAGTTGTTTTTAGAGCATTTTCTCATTTATGAAAAAAAGGCGCTTTTGTGCTCGTCTTGTCCGTCTGTCTGTCCGCCTGTCCGTCTGCCCGTTACTTCACGTTTTCGTCGACGAGAAAATGCGCTCTCTGTCACTCACTGCAGTGAGTACTGAGTTATATTTTTATTATCATTTATTCGAAATAGAAACGAGAAGTAGGACTTTTCGGGGGAAGAAAATTAGAAGGATGATGAAAAATGTTTTTTTTTTTATTCGCAGGTTGCACAGGAATTAGAGAACTTGTCATCATCGTCGCCGTGCTCCTACAACTACACAAGTCTACAGCCTTGTCCCTCCACACACTCCCCCTCCATACACGACCCCCTCAACTCCCGCCTCTCCCTCTCCTCCGCGCAGAACAAGTGGGCCGCTGTCACCGGCAAGCTAGAAGTCAGGTTTGTACTCGATAGTTTTCTACAAATAATGTAACATATTTACGTTTAATATGCTTGAATCTTCCAGCTAATATTGATGATAGATTCTCTTGGGAAGCTGGAAGTCAGGTTTGTACTCCACACTTTCCCACAAATAATGTAACGTTTTTTAAGTTGAATATGTTTGAATCTTCGAGCTAATATAGACGATTGATTTCCTTTGAACCCACAAATAATGTAGCATTTTTTTTTGTCGAATATGTTAGAATATTCGAGCTAATATTGACGATTGATTTCCTTTGAACCCACAAATAATGTAGCATTTTTTAGTTGATTATACTCGAATCTTCCAGCTAATATTGATAATAGATTCCCTTTGAAACGCAAGGTATAAAGGCTTGTTTTTTTGTATACAATATTATATCAATATTGTTAACAGTAATAATAATATTAATAAGTTTATTAACTATATCATGATGTTTACGTCAGCTACTCATTTGACGCGAGGGAGGGGAGATAAGCAAGAGCAAGCGGGAATGTTGTTATCTCGTCTGGCACAATCTCTTTATCCATTCACATCATTTCTTGTGTCATTTATTTTTCGCTGTGTGACGTGCACTCGAAGTTCATTTGAACCGGACGCCACGATAGCTGCTTCGTAGAATAATAATAATAATAATAATAACCTCCCTAGATTTGGACTCAGAGAAATTAATTAAACTTTGTCCAAATAGCGATGCACTTTTTGTCTTATATGGGTCATCCTGATCCAGTGTGGCCCGGAAGTAAGACGTATCAGTCCTACACGCAACAATTGTGCCACTATTTGGACAATATTATTCATCCATTTTGCTGAGTACCCACGTTGTCCGTACTTGCCCCTGAAGGATCTGAAGGATAAAAGGTTAAAAGGATCTGAAGGATAAAAGACCGTCTTCCCTCCTCAGGTTGATAGGCGTGCAGGACCTTCTTGAAGACGTGCCCGGCCGCTGTCGCCGCGACAGCCACTCTGGGGGCACGGACCTCAAGTCCCTCATGAAGGGCGTTACTGGCAAGGCCTCCGCCAAGTCCTACTCAGTCAAGGACGATATCTCAAGTAAGTTGTAATCCTATGACATTGATTATTGTATTTATTTATTCACACCGGACATCTAACGTTGAAATAACGTTGATTTAACGCGCTTACAACGAATATAATCAACTGTGTTGCAACATCATTTGCCTGGAGGGTTTGTTAAGAAAGATATCTACCCATGACGTGTTCAGTCAGTTTCAGTTATAATATTGAGAATGGTTGCAAAATTTTTAAATCGTATTGCTATTTTATCATGTGATTACTACTTCGATTATTGAATGTATATTATTAATTTTTATGATAGTAGAGTAGACGTTTCACAAAGTGGTTACTGGCTATTTAACATCGGCGTGCTTGCCGAACACCAAACTTTTTAAACCCTGAAGTCATTTTCTATGAGAGTATACATTTCACATATAATTTACACACACTTTATAATCTATTGTAAAGACAAAGTTGTGTGTGTGTGCCCTGAATTGGTTGTTGTATGAGCAGGCGAAGTGATGGCCGTACTCAAGCTCGACAACAACAAAGTGGTCGGTCAGACCAGCTGGAAACCCTGCAGCCAGTCTGCCTGGGACCAGAGGTAACCAACTATTAAACTTCCTCACTATTTATTCATTTCAATGTTCCAACCAGTTTGCTTTTAATACATTATCCTGTGGTACTGCTGATAACAGGGCGATTTTAACCCTCTACCGCTCCGGGAATATAACTTTCAGCTTAAATTATACGTAAACTATTGAGTGTAGCAACCAGAGGACGTTAGTAGGCAACAGAGAACATTTTAAAGTTGTCGTACGTGGCGGCAACCATCAGTGCAAGTCATTTTGCGCTCACTAGAACGTACCCTTCGCGGGAAGTAGGCTTGTAACATTATTGTTCCGGTTACTCATGGCAGGCGGTAGAGGGTTAATCCGTCTTGATGTTCTCGTACTTAATACGTGGTAATTAAGCAAGAATACATTATTTTACTTGTCTTAGGCTTTAATCAGTGCACTGATATCGTCCTCACTCGTTCATAACAATCTGGTGATCCGACCTCTCATGTCTCAGGTTCTTTATCGACCTGTAGATGCCCCAATAAATTAACTACCTAATAATATTGTTTCTAAATTTTAGTACATTACAACTGATATTACACCAGATTTTCGATCGAGCTGGAACGCAGCCATGACCTGGAGATGACTTCCTCTTAATACATTAACTGATTTCCTTTGTTCCGCTGTGTTGTTATATTATCACTGATGTAATTTCTCCGTCGAATTATGTATATTATTGCTAAAGATTTTGTTGCTCTGTATTATAAAATTATTATTATTGTCGCAGGTTCTCGATCGACCTGGAGCGCAGCCGTGACCTGGAGATCGACATCTACTGGCGGGACTGGCGGTCGCTGTGCGCCGTCAAGTTCCTGCGTCTCGAGGAGTTCATATGTAAGGGGTCTGATGGGTGGTGGGGTGATGGTGCTAGTGTTGTAGGGGGTCTGATGGGTGGTGGGGTGATGATGGTGCTAGTGGTGTAAGGGGTCTGATGGGTGCTGGGGTGATGATGGTGCTAGTGGTGTGGAGAATGATGATGGTGCTGCTGAGGTCTTGTAGGGGTCTGATGGTATTGAACCATGATTATAATTAATAATATCACGTATAATTTTACATAGCATTTATCTTAGGGTCTTATTCAAGCGAACTTCGAGGCTCACACATATAAACGAACACATAGAAGATTAATAGCAAGCGAAAAATAAATAGACTCAAGAACTGATGGGAACGGATAAAAAGGAAGGTGCTGGCGATGTTGCTAGGATGTAGGAGGGTTTAATGGTGCTAGTGATGCAGGAGTGGGTGATGATGGTGTTCGCTACGTTTTTCGTCAGAAATGGTGTGGGTTAGGAGGATGATGCAGGCCAGTTCTCAGTTGGGTCTTTTCTTGTTCAGGGACTGTGGTGTTGTTATAGGTTTGGTCTCGCTTATTGAATTGGAACCTAGCAGATATTTTTCCGTGTCTGCACCTACACGTTGAATTAAAAGTTAGTTTTGGAAAAATTTCATGTCTAAACAACACCCGATAAGGGAAGTTTATTCTTCCAGTAATGTTCTTCAGTAATATTCACAAGTTTATTCTTCTTGTGACATACTGTGGTGACTGCGCTTGTGTGACAGACCGCCGTCATTATTGATGGTCAAGCAAATAACGTTTTTCAATCAAGAAATTTTGTTGCAGAAAATTAAAATTTGTTTCTATGTTGCAAAAATTAAATTGATCAAAAATTTAAATTGAAAAATTGTGTTTCTATATTGCAGATAAAGTTCCTTAACCCGATGATATCCCGGAAGCCCAAGCTACAGCGGCAGAAGAAGCTCTTCCGTCACAACAAAATGCCGCGCCCCAACCAAATGAACATCAACGTCGCCGCCTGGGGCAGACTTATCAAGAACATACAACCTGGCAACCAGGTCTGCTGCAACTGCATTTAGATAATTGTTTACATCTGAACTGTTGTTCTGATCTGAACAATCAGTATCATTTGTACCATTCTTATCGTTTTGCATGGAGAAAAACTTTTACTAAGCAGGCTCAATTAGACTGTGCAGCCTGGCAACCAGGTCTGCTGCAACAGCATTACAACAATTGTTTACATCTCAACCATTTATAATGGGAACAATCGCATCAATTGAACCATTGTCATCATTTGAATCATTGTTATCGTTTGAAAAATCATTTTGAAAGGAGGAAAACTATTACTAAACAGCCTCATCAGGAACATACAACCTGGCAACCAGGTCTGCTTGTACAGCATTTGGACGATTGTTTACAGCTGAACCATTTACTATCTGAACAATCAGCATCATATGAATAATTGTTATGATTTAAAAAATCATTTTGTACGGAGAAAACTGTTACTAAACAAGCTCAATTAGAATATGCAGCCTGGCAACCAGGTCTTGCTCACTATCATTTGGACTATTCATTATCATTGGACTGAACTATTTTTCTAATCTGAAAAATCAATATCACATGAACAATTGTTATCATTTGAACGATTGTTATAATTTGTACAGTTGTTATCATTTGTACAATTGTCATTGGTGCAATTGTTAGCATTTGAACAATTCTTATTATTTGTACCATTGTTATCACATGTAAAATTGTTATCATTTGTACAATTGTTATCATTTGCACAATTCTTATCATTTGAACTATCATTTTGTATGGAGAAAAACTATTACAAAACAGGCCCATTAAGAATCTGCAGTCTGGCGACCAGGTTTTCCTCACTATCATTTGAACAATCACTATGCGTGGGGGTGAAGTACAAGCTAGAGATCCACGATGTGAGAGTTAGTCATTGCTCTCACTTACATATCAATATTTAACAGTTTCGTATTACTTCGTCAAATGGGTGGGATTAAAACTACACGAATCTATAAATTTATTCATATTTCTGTATGTTTAAGCCATGAGACTCTTAGCACTGACCATAGAAATTCGTAATAACCTTTGTTGATGAAGGCCTATTACGTTGACAAGTATCATTATTATTATTATAGAAAAATGAAGATACAATAAGAAAGGAACTATGCATGTTTTTGTGCGGTGAAGAGGTTTAAATGCAGAGTGAAAATAACGTGAAAAGACAATCTTTATTTTTGTGAGTGGAGTCACTAATCTACATTTTAATATAGATTAGTAATAATCTATATTTTTGTGTATATTGAAATTTCTGGGGACTTACCACATCCCTTGTCCCCAGGAGGTGTCCCACGCGGTGTCTGGGGAAGGCGGCTACCCCAGCGGGAGCGCAACACTCCCCAACAGTCCCCACCACACTTCCTCCTCTCACCACGCAGCTCCTTCCCTCCCCAACACCGCCACCCTCCCCACCTCTTCCTCCCACCACCACCACCACGGTTCGTTTAGTACAACTTTACAAGTTTAGTACAAGTTTTAGTACAAGTTTTAATACAAATTTTAGTACAAGTTAGTTTAGTACAAGTTTAGTACTTCCCACAGTGTGGGGAGAGCCTTGCTAGTGGGGAACGAGGGGCTGGGAAGTGGGCATTAAATAAAATAACGAATAGAATGTGCATTGAAGATGATAATAATAATAATAAATGATAAAATATAAATAATAGAAATAATAATAAAATAAAAACAATATTTGGTAATATCATCATTCGGGTAAGTAATGAAGGCAAGCGGGGCATGTTGAAGAAAGTTGAAATATAGTTTGTGAACATTTCTATTTGGATAACAATGGTAAGCTGAAATTTGTACCTCATCTCCCTCATTTACTCAAGGTAGGTTGGTTAACACCAAAGAAAAGTTCAGAAGCATCAGGTTTTGGAACTGGATTCTCTTGACTGTCGTTAAATAATCTAACTTTTGCTATGAAGGCTAGTAAACAGACCATACAGCGGCCCTGTGTTAATACAAAATATACACACCATACAGCAGCCCTGTGTTAATTAGTAAGTCGTACGTCGTGCCTACCCGAGGAATCAATTTAAAATTGAAGTGTTGAAGAAGTGTCAAATATTCCAAATAGTTATTTAAATTTTTAGATTAAGCTTCAGGTTTAGAACTTTTGGAAACTAGTTACGCGTTTTTGTTCCCAGTTTTTTGGTATTGTAAGTATTTTTTTCAAAGTTACTGGAGTACATTACCAAGAATGCTGGTTAGCCGTAGCAACTACGTCCGTTATTAACCATCATGTAAATGTCGCTACACTATTAATAAATTGCCGTCATCCTCTAACTTGTACAACTTGTGAACGTATAATATTTTCTTGGAATATTCCTCGAAATATTTTCTTTGAATATATCCTTGATATAATCCTTGAAGTGTCGTATTTTTATCAATGTTTAAGGTATAACAGCACTTGAGATTGCAGGATATGCAATTTTATTTATTATTATAATCCATAAATTTAAGTTTATTTAATAAAAAAAAAAAAACCCCGGTAACGCCAAAAAGCCCCCCCCCCGGCAGACGTGGTGCCTGGCTTGTCCTCTCTGGACCTCAGCGAGGCCCTGGACATGCCTGGGGACGAACTTCCCCCTGGGGAACACTCCAACACCTGCCGCCCTCTGGCCCTGCCCTCCTCTCCTCCCCCACAGGTGCAGCCTCACTTATATCCTCCCCAGCCTCCCTTCTACCTCCCCCATCAGCTGCAGACCCATCAGCTGCAGACACATCAGATGCAGTCTGGACAGACTTACCAACTGACGGACTCGTCCTTTCCGACTTACCAGACCACTGCACTGCACAATAATGCGTCACTGCCCAATACCACTGCACTGCACAATGCCACGTCACTGCACTCTAACACAGCACCATCATACGCTAACACTTCTCTACCAGCACACCACCATCATAACCCTACACCACCATCCCCTTCATCACAGCACCATATCTCTCAGTACGCTACACCGTTCCTTCCCAGCAGCGGTGTTCATCGTCAGACATCTGAGTCGTCACCATACGACACCACTACCACTACCAATAACAACCACCACTACCACCACCACCATCACCACTCCAGTAACAGTAACAACAACAACAGGCCCGCGGTGCACAATAATCTTTATATATCTCAGCCGCCTTCCACGAGCGTGTTTCCTTCGTGTCAGCTCCCCCATTTGAACAGTGGGGGAACCTCTTCCTCATCTACTCCTCCCCCACTCCTCCCCACTGCGTCCGGACAACCCCACATACACCCAGCGCACCCCATCACCGTACAGGTATGGCACCTTCCCTCGTGCACCCCTCTTACCCTCAGGCCTGGTCCCTTCTTCCCTCACTTTATTTAGGCTTCATGTGTCCTGCTATCTCTCGATCCTCTCTAAATAATTACCGAATTCTTCGTGTCTTTTCTTCTTCAAATCGAAATTATTCACAAAATAATTTGGATTCTTTGTCTTTTCCTTATTCAAATTCCTAAATTTTTCAATAGAATTTTTTTAGAATCAATTTTTTTCTATCGATCAAGCTGGAAAATATCAGGGAATGCACAAGTTCGTCATCATCTTTACATCTTTTGCTACGAAGCATCCATGAATTAATTTTTATTGTTTCTTTCACGTTTTAGTTCCGTTCTTTGTACTGCATCAGTGCATGTCTCTTGTAATGCTTTATTCGCTGCTCTTGGCACTTGCTCTACTCTTGACTCTTGCTCTACTCTTGCCTTGACACTTGCTCTACTCTTGACACTTGCTCTACTCTTGGCACTTGCTCTACTCTTGACACTTGCTCTACTCTTGGCACTTGCTCTACTCTTGGCACTTGCTCTACTCTTGGCACTTGCTCTACTCTTGNATGGTTCTTTCGCATATTTTAGTGATGGTTTTGATCTCAGCCTGTCTTGTTGGTTTATACCCCGTCTATCACCCTCAATTTATGGTTCTTTCGCATATTTTAGTGATGGTTTTGATCTCAGCCTGTCTTGTTGGTTTATACCCCGTCTATCACCCTCAATTTATGGTTCTTTCGCATATTTTAGTGATGGTTTTGATCTCAGCCTGTCTTGTTGGTTTATACCCCGTCTATCACCCTCAATTTATGGTTCTTTCGCATATTTTAGTGATGGTTTTGATCTCAGCCTGTCTTGTTGGTTTATACCCCGTCTATCACCCTCAATTTATGGTTCTTTCGCATATTTTAGTGATGGTTTTGATCTCAGCCTGTCTTGTTGGTTTATACCCCGTCTATCACCCTCAATTTATGGTTCTTTCGCATATTTTAGTGATGGTTTTGATCTCAGCCTGTCTTGTTGGTTTATACCCCGTCTATCACCCTCAATTTATGGTTCTTTCGCATATTTTAGTGATGGTTTTGATCTCAGCCTGTCTGCTCCTACTGACTGCCAAACTCCAGCATCTGGTAAGGGTTTGCTGCATGCAGCGCTACGGCGCCCTCAAGATATTGCCTCGAATAATGGTCTTTTGATCGTTAGTAATAATGTGAATGATCACCACTGACTGTTAACATTCAATTTTCAGTGTGATTTTCTTCAAGATTCTGTCTTCTCGACAAATTATTTTTATCTTTACATCCATGAATTATCAACTCTCGCACACAGCGTTTGCTTCTCAACCTATGAAGATGATATCGAAATAAAATAATAAGTAAATAAAACGCATGCACCTAAAAGCACAAATTAACATCGCTCTCATATAGGGGTAACTCGTCACGATTAACCTATGCGTGCCCTCAACCACTTCAGCACCTTTTGCAGGTGACACAAAACTTTGATATGCCAGTTCTTGTTTTTTTCAAGCAACACCAGGAATATATGCATCAGGTCAACACTCAACATCAGGCAAAATAAAGAAATTCGTGTAATACTATATTAAGAAGCCCACCATTGTACTCATTTCTCTGCCCACCCCTGCACATGAATGTCACACTTGTCAGTATCAAATCATATTCATCATATTCACCCACACACTCAGAAAAATCACTGGAACAACAACTGAGATCCTGCACGCGATAGTCACTGACTGACTCTCCGCCTGACATTTTGCGATCATCGGACGATCGATTCTTGATTCATGAATCGGTCCTTACGTGGCCGATTCCTGATTTTCATTTGATCACTAACTGACGACTCTGACCTATACTTATCCTGCTGGAAAAATTTGTATAAATTGCTTATCATTTTCTGCCAGGACTGCTGAGGCCTGATGTTCTTCTAACGAGAACATTTTCTATCTACAGAAATTTATTTGTATATCCCTTCATGATTTCGAATTTTTATCCTACTTTCGTCCGTAATTCAGTTTTTTATTCAATGGTCAATATCAACGCAAGCGATAGAATTCATATTGCAATGAGTTACTGAACGCATGTGCTCTCAAATAACTGTGTGTGAGAATGTGTTTATTGAGAAGAATTATACAATAGAGGCAACAAATCTATAGCCGGAGCCTCCCCGGCCTATGTATATTATGTATATTAGTTTTTTGTATATTAACGATTGTGTCGTCAGCTAAGTTTCAAATATTGGTAAAAATGTACAAATCCGAAATCGTGTTCGTTAATTATGAAACAGCTCTTACATTTCCTGTGATCTAATTCTTTTTGTTCTTCAAATCTCGTGTATTTCAATGAATTTCTTGTTTGGTACTTCATCAACTTTTTGCTTTCAGGTATCGTGTTTGCTTTAGGTTATGCAATTCTTATTCCCCTAGAGGAATGAGAGGAGTGGGTTCTTCTTTGCATGCTTTTACAGGGCCTATTTGTCTTACTATTGATGTGCATTTAAGAAATATTCTTAAAATATGCCAATGAAACTACTACGTGTTTATGTAAGATTAGGCAGGTACCATTATATTAATATGAATTGATCACATATATGTATATAATGCTATAAATATTTTTTTTAATCTGATACAATCGTAGAGAATGATTTCCTGAATTTGCGATGTTGTAGAACAATTAACACAATGACATGATAGTTAGTGATGCTAAGTTTCTTGACCAACAAGTTGGGAAGGACAAGCACATTCGATGCTGTAGATTTCTTGCCTACTCTAACTAGTTACTTATATCAAGTAACTACTGTAACTAGCTACTTATGTTGATCAAGTTTTTTTTGCTGATAAATTGTTCAATATTTTTACGAAAGAAACATTTTATTTAGATTTGATAACTTAGCTGAAGATTCAGAGAGTAACGGCAACTCTGAGTGGATTTTCTCATGGAAGGGCTTAATTTCTCAACTTTTTATATGTACAACGTAAAATATTAAATGATTGGATCAATTATGCCATCAAACTTAGTAGTGATGAGTGATGGCTACGCCTCAAACATTCGTTAGGTTTAGAGCCTCAAATATTAATAAATGTCATCAAATTTATAATCGACCTTAGTAGTGACAAGTGATGATTGTGTTTCATACTCTTATTAGGTGGGTTTAATACGTCAAACATTACTAGATTTAATCAAATGTGATATCTAAACTATAAGTGACTTGCGTTCCACACTTCCATTATAGGTGGCGAAACGCCCCCCATGTACCCCTCCCCCACCGCCCCCACGACCCCACAGTACGGGGGTGACCATCACAGTGCCAGCCTCCCCCCCGCACCCCCACAAGGTCAGTTCAGCGCATCCTCATACCTGTCCGCATCCTACGTACCCTATGACCAATAGTATCCTTAGTCCTTAGTATCCTTAGTATAACATATCCTCTCAGTAGTATCCTTAGTCCTTAGTATCATTAGTATAACATATCCTCTCAGTAGTGTCCTTAGTATTCTTAGTATGACATATCCTCTCAGTAGTGTCCTTAGTCCTTAGTATCATTAGTATAACATATCCTCTTAGTAGTATCCTCAGTCCTTAGTATCATTAGTATAACATATCCTCTCAGTAGTGTCCTTAGTCCTTAGTATTCTTAGTATGACATATCTTTTCATTTATTAGATGTATACCCGGCCGCTGTCGCCGCGACAGCCACTCCGGGGGCACAGACCTCAAGTCTCTTATGAAGGGCGTTACTGGCAAGGCCTCCGCCAAGTCCTACTCTGTCAAGGACGATATATCCAGTGAGTTGTAATGCTGTGACGATAAATCCAGTGAGTTGTAATGCTGTGACGATATATCCAGTGAGTTGTAATGCTGTGACGATAAATCCAGTGAGTTGTAATGCTGTGACGATAAATCCAGTGAGTTGTAATGCTGTGACGATAAATCCAGTGAGTTGTAATGCTGTGACATTGAGTATTGTATTTATTTATTCCCACCGGGCATCTAACGTTGAAATAACGTTGATTTAACGCTCTTTCAATGAATTTACCTTTTAATTAACTGTTTCACATCATTTGCCTGGAAGGTTTGTGAATAGACATATCTCCTCAAGGTGTGTTCAGTCAGTTTCAGTTATAATATTGAGAATGGTTTCAAAATATTTAAGTCATATTACATTTTTTTATCGCGTAAATAGTATTTTTATTATTGAATGTATTATTAATTTTTTATGATAGTAGAGCAGACGTTTCACATATAATTTACTGACCACACATATTTAAAATCGGCGTGCTTGCTGAAGACCAAAATTTTCAGACCCCGAATCAATCTTCCATGAGAGTATACGTTTCACACAGAATTTACACACTTTATAATCTATTGTAAAGACAAAGTTGTGTGTGTGTGCCCTGAATTGGTTGTTGTATGAGCAGGCGAAGTGATGGCCGTACTCAAGCTCGACAACAATAAAGTGGTCGGTCAGACGAGCTGGAAACCCTGCAGCCAGTCTGCCTGGGACCAAAGGTAACCAACTATTAAACTTCCTCACTATTTATTTATTTCAATGTTCGAACCAGTTTGCGTTTAATACATAATCCTGTGGTACTGCCGATAGCAGGGCGGTTGTTATCCGTTTTGATGTTCTCGTACTTAATACGTGGTAACAAAGCAAGAAGACATTATTGCACTTTAATTGGGCTTTAATCAGGGCACTGATATCGTCCTTCCCGTTTATAGCAATCTGGTGACCCAACCTTTCATGTCTCATGTTCTTCATCGACCTGTAGATGCCCCAGTAAATTAACTAATATTATTGTTCCTATATATTCGTATATTACAATTGAAATTACATTGCACCAGATTTTCGATCGGCCTGGAGCGCAGTCGCGACCTGGAAATTGACTGTCTCTCTCTTTGTTATTATATTATTAATAATGTTAATGTTTCTTAAATTATTATATGTATCATTGCTAAAGCTATTGTTGCTCAGTATTCTAAAAATAATATTTATTGGTGCAGGTTCTCGATCGACCTGGAGCGCAGCCGTGACCTGGAGATCGACATCTACTGGCGGGACTGGCGGTCGCTGTGCGCCGTCAAGTTCCTGCGTCTCGAGGAGTTCATAGACGACGTCAGGAGCGGCATGGCCCTCCAGCTCGAGCCCCAGGGTCTCNTTTGATCCATCAACCAAGTATTGAGTAATTGTGCAGAGATACCTTACGGTCCTCTTCTTCTCTCAAAGATTGCAAAAAAGAGACTGTTCTGTGTTTTAATTTTTGTCTGTCTTCTGTGTTTTAATTATTACTTTTAATTCAAGTGATGAGGTGCAAGGGCTAACTTATCATCACTTCTTGAACGTTGTGTCTTCTGAATGTATTGGTTTGATTCAATGTAAAATATCCGGGTACTCTGTCTCATAAAATTGAAGTGTAATTTATCCAAATATTTTTGATGGCGCTATAAAAGAGACAGTTGTGGGAATTAAATTTTACGCTAATTCGAAGAGGGGGAATGGAAAAAAACGTTGAGAAACACTGCCCTAGGAGACATCAATTTATACCCCGGTCACTGCGTAATTCCCCTTAAATCTTCTTTCAGCGAACCTTACCTTATTATCAATTTCACATGAGATAGTTAATTTAAACCTTGTTTGATTATGTGGTGCTGCCTATTGATGCTTTCCCTTTATCCATATCAAGAGTGAAGAAATAATCAGAACTAATTAATTATTACGAGAGCCAGATCTCATATCTCGAAATTTTTTAAAGAATTTCTAACTCTAAAGCTATTATTCTTGGCAGTTCGCTCATTAATTGGTAGAATTAATTTAATAATTCTATTCTCAATGATTAACCGTAAAATTATTTTACTAAAAAGAGTTAAAGTTTGATAACCGAAAATTTTTTATTTCATTTCATTGGATGTTGATTTATGAGTAGAAGGAGGAATTTTTTATCTTTTCGTAAGATTCTTCTCTCACTGAATAATCAAAAAGCAATTTAATCCTAAAAATATCGAAGAGAATTTTTGAATTTACTGCTGTGCCTTCCAACATGTTATTGGTATCGCTCTATATTGAGCACGGCAAGCCTTCTTTTCTCCTGTACGAAAGCTTCCATCGATGTAAGCGTAGAAGGCTTGGAGAAAATCTGTCTCTTATACACATCTAGATGTGTATAAGAGACTTATCAAGAACATACAACCTGGCAACCAGGTCTGCTTCATCAGCATTTTAATAATCTTTGACAGATGAACTATTGTTCTGATCTGAACTATAGTTATCATTTGTACCATTCTTATCATTTTGTATGGAGAAAAACTATTACTAAACAGGCTCAATTAGAATATGCAGCCTGGTGCTAGTGGTGTGATTCACTAGCACCAGGCTAGTGGTGTACTCACTCCCCTTCAACATTATTTGGACAATTGTTTACATCTGAACTATTGTTCTGATCTGAATAATCAGTATCATCTGAACAATTGTTATCATTTGACCGTTGGTCATTATTTGTACAATTATTATCATTTGTATAGATCTAGCCAAATATTCTAGTCGGTTGTGCTGTTTTTTTGTTTTATCATCCCGGTAAAGTCAGTTTAATTAATTATTACTTTTCCACATATTTCTTTTAATGAAATTATTGTCAATTTATACTAATGAAGTTCATACTACTTTTACACTAAAGATTTATTCTAGCATCAAACATCGATGTCAGCATTTTAGAATCCCTTCTATTCGCTTGTCTGTATTCCATTTCAAATTTTTACCCTGATTCCTTAAAACCGAGTCACGAGGCGAATGAGTCGCGAGTTTTTTTATTTGTTGAGAGAAGATAATCATCACCTGTTAAGCCTGCAGTGCTTAAAACCCGTGGGAAATCAAGCGGTTTGTCTTGTTTTAAAGTTTCTGAGTACATTAACGTGCTACGTCATGTGGCCGAGCCTGACTGACAGCCGAGGTTGTTCATAGCGTCTCTGGTGCACGGCGCAAATGGCACCATTGTTCTGCTCTTCACGATCCTTCTCAAGGCATGTGGTTGCCTTGAGCTTCTTGCTCTTCACTCTGCAATTTTGTAGACACTTTTTCGCATGTTTCATAATTTATTTCTCTATGTTTTTCGCTTATAAGAGGAGCAAGCCTCTGTCTTGGTTAGGTTAGTGTATACGTTTTCTTACGCTTGACTTATTTGCACACAGTTTTGAAACGCTCATCGAATTTAATCTTTCAACTCTTATCTTAACGAAGACCTTCAAAACAGAACTTGAACAATGAAGTTCGTTAAGCACCTGCAAAATTCCGGAATTGATCCAGTCGTTCTAGCAGTGAAAGGGTACACGCAGATAAATGCATGGGTCATATTGTCCAAAAAGTGACATTTTCTTATCCACAGCACTAGCAAGGAACAGACGTAGCATTGATACACAGTTTTGCCTGTGAAGATAAAAAAATATAACTCTGTACTCACTGCAGTGAGTGACAGAGAGCGCTTTTTCTCGTCGACGAAAACGTGAAGTCACGGACAGACAGACGGACATGACGAGCACAATAGCGCATTTTTTTCTATAAATGAGAAAATACGCTTAAAATGCATTGCTAAATGGACAAAGTACCAATCATTTCTCTGAGCGTAGGTGCTTGTACGGGTTATATTCGCAATGCGCACGTCGCTAGGTCGTGGCTTGCGCCAGCGTGTGCATCTCTCCTCGTGTTTTGCATGCGCCCTGCTCTACAAGCCTCTCTGCACTCAGAGAAGTGAGTGGGACTTTGTCCAAATATCGTTGCATTTTTTGTCTTTGTGTTGGTCGTTCTGGCCCAGTATGCACTGGAAAATTAAAGTGCGTCACTCTTTGAATACCGTAGTATGACTTAGTTTTACTTCTGAGCGAGGACGTAGGAGCTATAGCATCTATTCTCTACAATGTCGGCTTGTCGAAGTTTTAGTTTCTTCTGTAAAGCTGTGGGATTATATTGAATGAGTAAATTCAAAACACAATATAACGTAAGTGCGGCAAATTTATCAGCCTATTGATGTTGGCTACCTTCAGCTAAAAATAATATCTTAATATCAGTTATTGCAACATATCCTTAATCTAGACTCGTGCTCGCATTTCTCATGCATTTTTTTTGTCCATGATGCTTCGCACCTGCCGCGCATCCTTGACCCGTGCCGCAGATGTCGTTAACTGCGTGCAGTGTCCTGGCATAACAGCGACACATTCAGAAAAATTCAGGAACTTTGTCCAAATTGTGATGTAATTTTGCTCCTGTGTGGACCATCCTGACCAAGTTTTTCCCGGCAAAGTATCAGGGCTACATGCAGAAAGTATCACTATTTGGACATTCATTTTTTCTTATACATTTAAATTTACAATACATTTATTTTTCTGAGTGTACCTTGTTGAGAATAACAGGCGGTGATGCATGAACGGCGCAGGGTCGACCTCCGCTGAAACGTTGCTAATTTATTGTAATTTTCCCATCTTGTTCCTAGAGTGATTGTTGTTTACTGATGATAAATTGCAAGTAGTTAGCTTTGTACTCGAACCGTCAATCATTTTAGGGTTGTCGGATATCAGAATTTTTGATGCTAGTAGAAGTAAATTAGTAGGCATAACGATTATTTTTGTCAGTCAAATTCCACTTCGCATATGATTTTTGTAGAAATATTTGACAATAACTAATAACTACATCTCTAATAGTAGAGATGTATAATGTATTTCATATTCCTCTTCCCTGACTTTGAAAAGCAGATGTTGAGCGGTGATGCATGAATGGCGCAGGGTCAACCTCCGCTGAAACGTTGCTAATTTATTGTAATTTTTTCCCTAGAGTGATTGTTGTTTTCTGATGATGAATTGCAAGTAGTTAGCTTTGTACTCAAACCTTGAATCATTTTAGGATTGTCGGATATCAGAATTTTTGATGCTAGTAGGAGCAAATTAGTAGGCATAACGAGTATTATTATCAGTCAGATTCCGATTCGCATGTGATTTAGGTAGAATATTTAACGATAACTAATTGTGGAGATGCAATGCCTTTCATATTCGTATTCCCTGACTTTGAAAAGCAGATGTTGGGGGCACGAGCCTCACACGCTGCCAAGTTTCAATCATAGGTCATTATATTTCATTGATGCCTTAGGGCATATCGAAATTAGTAACGATTTATCGTGCCCTTCATTTTTGTTCGCAAAATGTACTCTTTTTCATTTGATATTGTGGCATGGGTGTCAGGGTTGGCAGTTGTGTTGCTCCCTGTTTGAGTGCAGGTGACGACGATTTGTTAAGTGTGTGTTTGTTGCTCCTTGTTTTTACTTCTGAGCGAGGACACGTAAACGTAGCATCTATTCTCTACAATGTCGGCTTGTCGAAGTTTAGTTGCTCTTGTAGAGCTGTGGGATTATATCGAATAAATAGATTCAAAACACAATAATGAAGTAAGTATGACAAATTTATCAGCCTATTGATGTGTTTGAATGCAGGTGACTCGCCGTTTGAGTGCAGATTATTCTCTGTTTGAGTGCAGGTGCAAAGATTATTTGAGTGCAGATTATTCTCTGTTTGAGTGCAGGTTATTCTCTGTTTGAGTGCAGGTTATTCTCTGTTTGAGTGCAGGTTATTCTCTGTTTGAGTGCAGGTAGCGTCCTGCTCAGCCTCCTTTGTTTACTAGGCTCGTATTTTATTTGATCAGCGTTCAGGGGAGCTGGCATTGCTGTGTAAAATTTCGCGTTAAATTAAAATTATTCAACGCGTGTGAAAATAACCTATCGGTTGTAAAATTTTTCGCGTAGCATTAATCTCGCGTATTAAAAAGTTGTATTTTTCGTTTTAGGCTGTGGCATTACCGAGATTCTATACGCTTATTATTTTGACCAGGATAATATAAAATAAGATTCAGGTTATGGATTTAGCAGTTACCATGTAGAGACGCTCGACGGTGGTCAGGAAGGAAGCGTCGAGATGCCGGATGCCTTCGTTGCCTTTATCTGTGACAAATTTTTTCTTTGGCTCGTCATATGCCGCCTTCCTTGTTATTTGTGACTGGGCATTGTCTCGTCACGTTATTCTTCTAACGACCGACCCATGACTCATCAGACCGACCCATGACTCGCAGCGATGTCTAACTTAGGTTATCTTTCCATTCTTAAAATCAACGAATAATTCCTCATACTTATGTTT